GTTGTAAACAATTTATTTGGGCTGAATTTAAACAAACAAATTAAGTTGAACATTACTAAACTTAATTTGTTTGTTTAAATTCAACACAAACAAATTGTTTGCAACAGTTCTGCATGCAACACTTTTTTCAGTGAACCGATACTGCACTAAAAATGTAAAAGTACTTAGTAAAGTGCAATTCCTAAGAAAAACTCCTCAGTTACAGTAATTTGAGTATTTGTAATTTGTTCCTTTACACCACTGGTAACTATTAACTACTATTTTGATCTTCTGTGGGTTATGGATAAAATATGGTAATTGTAATAGTTTAATCAAATTAATTTGACTTTTGGAAATCATCAAGCGACCCCCTGTCATTATCCCGCGACCCCAATTTTTGGAACCACTGAGATAAACAAACACTTAAAAGTGTATTTAGGAAGTTTATTAGTATATTAGACTGAAAAAAAAACTTTAAATAAAACAAAGTATTATAAGTCGACTTCATTTTTATAATTATGTAAATTGTACTTACTTTTTTTGGAGACCGCCACTCAAAGATGATCCTCAATGTTCAGTTGTGGCGTGTAAGTATTTTATTAATGTATTTGATTGCTATAAAGGTGTCTGAAAGATTAACCTGGTGCTATAAAATCAATCTGTGTTGTTAATCTAAAGTACAACATAAACTAACACACAATCCTATGAGAAATTATTAGGCTGATGGCTTTTTATTTGCATGTTGTTGCTGTTTTATGCAACTATCAGTGGTGGAAAGAGTACTAAAAAATCATACTCAAGTAAAAATGTGGTATTTCTTATAATTTAATCAAATTAATTTGACTTTTGGAAATCCTCAAGCGACCCCCCTGTCATTGTTACCCACTTTGGGAGATAAACAAACATTTAATAGTGTATTTTGGGCGTTTTTAATATATGAGACTGGAAAAAATGAAAATAAAACAGTAACATACTCTACATGGTCTTGTATTATAGCACCACAATATTACCATGGTGCTGTATTTGAATTTGGTAATCATTCACTATTATGGTACACAGTAATCGTACCACTGCACTTTTACAGCCAAAGTTCTTGTTTGAACAAACCTCATAAACACAGGTTAGCAACAGAAAACAATAAATACCACCAAAAAACACATTAAACCTTTTAAGCAACCTGTTTTTAAACAGATTAAAGCGATTTTTACTTTTCCAGTCCGCGGACACCACCCCTTCCTCATTGTTATCCGCAAGAGCCCGCCTTCTCTAACTCCTGATTAGCTCAAACGACAACATAACAGGCGGACGCTACTCTACTCGCACTCTCATTGGATGACAAACCTGTCAATCACAAAAGTTTTCCCACAAAGGCACAGTGGCGCCTCAACCCGAGGAAATACCTCAAAACTAGAGTTCTCGCCTGCCCAAACTGACTAAAACACTCGCAAACTGAGCAAACCCGCATTGTCTGTGAAACACCACTCACCTGTAGTTTGATCTGTGAAGAGCTTGAGACTTTAATCGCGCATGTAAACGGTTAAAACATAATTCTGTCACCCGGGATCTGCTCCACTACTCCCGTACAGCCTCACCGCCCCGCCCACAGGATATTCAAATCACGAGGATGTGACGCCATCACGCCATATATGGACAATTTTACGATCGTTTTTATTATTCATATACATTTAAACAAAGTTATTCAGCTTGATGCACATTTACTTTGATTCACAATTGCTTACAATTCAAATTGTAGCTACATTGTGTTTGTTGAACGAGTAATTAATTTGTTAATTTATTCGTTATCAAGGGCGATATGGTGATTGGTTAGTACTGTTGCCTCACAGCAAGAAGGTCGCTGGTTCGAGTTCTGGCTGGGCCATTTCTGTGTGGAGT